ATATATATATATATATATATATATATATAGTTATAAAGTAAACTACCGTGACCTGTCATCACTCTGGACGAATTCACGAATTTCATACCGTAGACTCACCTCGGTTAGATATAGAGGAACGCTGTGTCGTCGAGCGGGATAACACTGGAGCAGCGGCAGAAGGTGAAGCACTAGGATTGGTAACCGCCGGAATTTGGTTTCTCGGTGGAGTGATTTTCATGGTGGATGCAGTGGTCTTAGCTGGTGTTCGTTTGGCAGGAGCAGCTGTGCGGGGTGTCAAGGCGGCACTCGAGTGACATCGAACAGAAGATGGATTTGCGGGTAGCTCCGGGCTCTTGTGTCCCGCCAATGAACGAGTGACAGGGACTCGCTTAGGCGCACTAGCCGTAGGAATCCCGAAGCGATTGGGTACCGTTACATTGGTTGAACATGGTGTTTGGCTTCCAGAAACTGGAATGTGAATTGGGGTGAAAAAGTTAACATACTAATCAAAAGCAAACGAACCTAAAGATCGTTACTCGCTTAGGAAAGTGTAAAATGGAATGACTCCATGATCACTGTAGATGATTAAAACCTAGGGGAGACACGTGTGGAAAATGGTCATCTACATTTATCCTGTCAGTAATGAAGTGATACGCGACCAAACGAAGTGACGCATGTAGTGTCAATTTTTGGGTGGTGAAAATGCGGTGCCACTGGACGAGAAGCCGAAGTAGAATTGGAAATAAGATTGAAACGGTCTGGTTAAAAACAGTCTGTGATATTCTAAAAGACAGCAAAGAGTTCGGTTGGCACAAACCCACTGCTTTTACCGTAAGAGAGCGAAAGCTTCAGTGCGTGGGACAACACACCAAGGCAAGGTAGAAAGAGAAAGCGATACGCAAGTGTCAAAAAGAAGGTCCGCTAATGCGAGAGCACCGGCAACCGCGTGCGAGTTCGGGATACTGCTAAGTAGCCTGCATCTACGCATGCTTGAAACAGCTGATTGTGGCTTACAAGCAAGAAGCCTGAGCATTCGGCGATCTGCTGACTAATGGGTGAATAACCTAAACACATCAACTAGCAAAAATGCATTTTCTAATCGGCATAAGCAACATAAAAACGCCACAAGATTTGTGCTGGAACACGAAAAATTAATCAATATGCAAACCACTTTAATGCAGCCCAACAAACCAACTCTTCACACTAATTCGGTGTGCTAGCTAGAAAAATGGACGGAAATACTTATTACTCATCATCATCATCATTACACGTTAGCTGGAGGTGGAAAACACCTCAGCTATTGTGCCGCAATACAAAAGAAAAGAAAAGGAAAACAGTGGCAAGCCCGCTGAGTCCCCAGTAACGGATGGACATCGTTCCGGAGAGCTAACAGCTGGCTGCCGTAAAAAGAGAATCATATTATGCCTAACAGGTGAGATCGTGATTGGAGGGGGATACTAAACAGGAGGGGGATGGGCAAAGGAAATCACAACATAAACGCCACTGGTGCCGGCTCCGAGCCATATTAGCAAGTGTGTCTAACCAAACGTGTTCACCGTCCTTAGGACCCCAGCCAGGCAGTCGGGATGCACCAACCGACGCCAACTTAAAAGTGAGGGTTTTCATTCCTCTCGACCAAGTTATCACTTGGCCTCCCCTCCTCTTCTTCCAACCGCACCCACAACGCGCAAACAATGCACGTCGCGGGAGTCGGTGTGCTGGCATGCGCAACACGTGGCCCAGCCATCGGAGCCTGGTGCGTGATATAATGGTGCTAAGCGGTTTCTCGATCTTCCTGCACCAAATACCCGACGTCGAACACGCTCATTGCTCACGCGGTGTTCCCACCAGACATGAGCTAAGCTGCGAAGGCAGCGATGATCGAATGTGAGGAGTCTCTTCATGTCAGTCGACCTGATGGGGCAGGTTTCACAACCATATAAGAGAGTAGAACGGACGGCTGCGTTGTAAACTCTGCCTTTCAGGGCAAAGGTAATGTCGCGTCTGCGCCACAGGTGGCGGAGATTGGCAAAAGCACCTCGAGCTTTTGCTATACGGTTCGTAACCTCAACTTCAATCCCACGGGTGCTAATATAGCTGCCCAGGTACTTAAATTCCTGAACGACTTCTAGCAGATCATCACCAAGCGTTAGCGCAGGGTTGGGTCCTTGCCAATCTTGGAGAAGTACTTTGCATTTCGATGGAGCAAAGCATAGCCCAAAACGACTGACAGCCAGTGCTAATCGGTCCAATGCTGTTTGGCATGTTTGGGAGCTGTTACAGATTAGGGCAATATCGTCCGCATACTCTAAGTCAAGAAGTCGCTCACCAGGAAGTAGCTCCACACCATCTAGGTCGTGTCCAGCGAACGCTGTTTCTATGACTTCATCAATAGCGAAGTTGAAGAGGAAAGGTGACAGCAGGCATCCTTGTCTCACGCCGCTGGCGATACTGAATGGTGGCGAGAGTTTGCCATAAACCCTGCCCGAACTATGCGCGTACAGCGCTTTGATAATGTTTACATATTTACCAGGCACACCTTTCCTCAGCAGACAGTCCCAAAGGGCACATCGATCGACCGAATCGAAGGCACATTTTATGTCAAGGAACACGACAACGGTGGGTCGCCAATAAACGTGGCGGTGTTCTAACAATTGACGCAAAGTGAAGGTGTGGTCGATGCAGCCCCGACCTCGACGAAATCCGGCTTGCTCTTCACGAATCTGGCGTTCACGAGTGCCAGTCAGTCTGTGGAGAATGACAGAGGCAAGCAATTTAGAGGCAATCGAAATCAGACTGATCCCTCTATGATTGCCGCATTCCAAACGAGAGCCTCCCTTGAAAATTGGGATAATGACGGAGCGGTTCCAGTCTGTCGGGACTGTCTCCTGCTCCCAAAGTCTTACTAGCAACTGGTGTAGATCATCTACTAGAGCAGGTCCCCCGAATTTGAAGAGGGCTGGGAGAATTCTATCTGCTCCTGAGGCTTTATGCAATTTCAATAGCCGGATCTCACGTTCGACTTCTGCGAGTGAGGGCGGATCCAAGGAGACGGCCCAAGGAGAAGGGCGCTCAATGCCCGAAGGAGAAAGTGATAACTCAGGTTTGTTAAATTGCCTTGCAAAGTGTTCGGCCCAACGCTCCAAGCGTTTTGACAAGCTGTGGATCGGCTGCCCACTCTCGTCGCGTATGGTCTCGCTAACACCAGGTCTCCTGCTGCCTGTTTCCCGTATCAGACGGAATAACTTACGATGATTACCCACGGCAGCGGCTGTTTCCATCTCAGAGGCACGATGAGACCACCAGGTTTCGCGGTCCTTCCTAAGGTTAGCACTTAGTTTTGCCCTGAGATTTTGGCGAGCCTCATTGTATTCGCTTCCAGCCGGAATACGTCGACGAGCATCCATAAGTTCCAGAGACTGTGTAGAGACCCAATGTCCGGTTTGGCAATTTGCTTTGCAACATGAAGACATGCCTGCGGACAGTAACGTTTGAGGGATATGCGACCAGTGATCTTCAACGGTGTTTAGTGGGCGCTTACTCAGCCCAGATGTCAGCGCAATATGGTATACATTCAGAACATCTGGCTTCGCCAGCTGGCTGGTGTCAATCCGTTCACCTCGACGTTGCGGACGTCCACCGAAACGCACCCGGAGGTCGGCACAGACAAGTGCATGGTCAGAGACCACGCTCGTGCTCCAAATTGAGCGACAATTATGGACACAGCCCCTCCAGCGGTAACTGATCGCGATATGATCGATTTGTGTCCATGGTTGGCCCGAGGCTGATGGCCGCCAAGTCACGCTTCTGCGGATGCTGTGTCGGAAGTTAGTGCTCGCAATAAAGAGGCGAGTATCTTCACACAGATGTAGCAATCGCTCACCATTATCATTACGCGAGCCTACACCATGTTGGCCGCCCAGATGAAGCTCATCAGAGGACAACTTTCCGACTTGGGCGTTTAGATCAACAGCCAACACCACAGTATCCGTGCTTCTTCTGTAACGAAGGAGCTCGTGAAGTTGCTGATAGAAATCATCTTTTACCGAATCGGTGCTACAGTTTGTAGGGGCGTAAGCCGCAATGACAAACAGGCACCGTTTGTCCCCGCGCGACTTCGTAGCACGGAACGAACCAACTAATCTAACGGCACACATCCTACTGTTTACTGGGATCCAATCAATCAGGGCAGCTTCAGTACGGGGAATCAAAACAATGCCGACGCCAGCTTGACCGGCATTTGAAGCTGCATCATCGCCAGGCAGGCGCAATGAGAATGTGCCGCCAGTGTCGCATGTGGGGGATCTCAGGGTAAGTACGGAGCTCGAATCTTGCATGCGGGTTTCTGATAAACAGCAACTATCGATCGATAGGGTCTCTAGTGTGCGGGCAAGTGCTGCCTGTTGGCCAATTTGCAGCAAAGTGCGCACGTTGAAACATGCCAGTATTAGCGAGACGCGAGGACTCCAAAGGGAAACGGATGAACTGACGTTGTCCGCTTGCTTGAACATGGACTTGTCAACTGGATTGGAGCGAGGCCATGCGATTGTGTGTGATTTGAAATTAGAAGACAAGCGAGTACTGAAGAAAGCTGGGGGAGGGCCAAGAATTGGGGGACTGAAAATGGGGGGATATAAGTAAAGTTGGAGCGGGACGATAAGGATGAAGAAGCGCAAGAAGGGGTATAAGAAGACGGGAAGGCCTGAGCAGTAGCATCCATACCCCTATCCACCCTGCTCGATGCAGCAGATAGGGCGCCATTGATTATCCTCTGCGACGGCCAGAGCATCAAGAAATTGTTGTAGGAAAGTTTCATTGTATTGCGTGGGCAGAATACTGTCAGGTTGCCCAGGCCTAGACAGGAGAACGATTAGGGTTCTCAACCAAAGCCTTTGGTTCAAAAACCTTACCGCAAGGCAGCGGGTTATGGCACTGGACTGAGAAGCCCGTTTTATGAAATGAGGAACCACTCCCATTCCAACCCCCAACCTGGAGGACCAGGAGGCTGAGTTTGTCTGGCCTCTAACCATTGAACAATCTGGTATGAGTGGCTCTGAAGGTGCAAAAGCACCACCCAGCATAGCGCAATGGATCTCTGAGGCACGCAAACCATCGCACCACGGTAAGGTCCAGCCTCATTGCGATGGGGTAAATTCGTACTCCCAATAAAGTTTGTGGACCACACTGAAAAAAGTGATTATGGAAAAAGCAAGCCCAATGTTTTCTTTAAACAAACTAAGAGAAACATGCAGTCATGATGAAGGAGATTACAAAAGCGCCGCGAGAGCAACTGTAGTAAGTGAGGAAAAATCAAGTAGCTTCCAATTCATATCCACGTGTTCAGCGGAGATTTCTTCGGTAGCCGGATGTCAGCCAATATGAAGGAGGATGAGCCGCGGTGATGATGACAGAAGATCAATAATCAAAAATCAGATACTGTCCGGGATGCTCAAAAAATAGCAACGACAAAAGCAATGTATAGGACCGACACGCGGATAAAGATACCTAGAAGACATCTCAGTTGTGCAAGTAAGAAAAAGCAGCAAGTTATGAGAAAAATTCGCCGAAAACGGATGACACATCAGGATGAAAAAGGATGAAATTCAAAGAAATGACGCGGTGATAGTTATGGTGGACTCCACGCAGAGTAATCACGTGAGCTCAAAGCATGAACGCGATGCAGTGTATCCCGCGGTGTAAGAATGCGGACTAACAGTGGACCGTACAAGTTCCCTACGATCTCACCTCGACCCTCTGGTTTGCTGGCTGCAGGCGAAGATGTCGATGAGGCACCCGTACTTCGGCCTACTGTAGTCGTCGCTTTCACTCCGAGCCGGAGACGAGACGAGAAATCTGAACGAGGAGTCACTGGCGCGGATTTCAGTGCTGTAGACTTGCTCGTCAGTGACGATACACGCGAGCGCATGGGTTCCGTCGTTGAGGGGCGACCAGATACACGGCACGGTTGTGTGGAACTGGGAGCCGCAGAACGGGCAGAAACCGGAGCACGAATGGGTGTCCGACGAACAGAGCTATTCAGCGAGGGTAGCTTCAACTATAGGTGACACAAATAAGGACAAGCAGAAAGTAAGATAAATCGGCAAATTGGAATCGCGGTTGAATTGGTATACCTTGAAATTACAGTGAAAACACAGCAGCGCGAAACTGACAAAAACGGAATGAAGGATGGTGAAACCAAAGGACTGTCGACTAGCAATTGTTAGCTATCCGAACGATAACTGTAAAAAGCAATAACAGACCAGAATACAAGAAAGTGATAGTTATCAGATGCTTTATCAAGCTACGTAATCAAAGCCCCAGCAATCTCCAACGTCTACAAACAACAGAGATTGCTAGAACTCGGACCAGTGTACATCGGGGCATTTAAATCGGCCGTTGCCTTTTACACCGAACATCACTTTTTACATTATCTACCTTAAATATATCTCAGCTTTGCAAAAGTACGATGGTAGATAATTTCTTAAATCAACATTACTGAGACCAATCTACTCAATCCACCTTTGAATATAAACGCTGAAATATCCGTAGGACAATTAAACACAAAATTTTACACAAAACTGTAATGGGACATGACGCAACATTTCTATGGAATTTTGCTCTATAAATAAAAACAAATCCCGAAGATATGGTGAAACGTTATGCGATGGTTGCTTGATCGAGTTATGACCGCACCCTTTTCATTTTTCTACCATTTTCAGAATTTTTGGTGGTGTCCGTTAAGTAAACTTAATTTTTGGTGGAAAGTGCTGAAAATGCACCCATTTGGGTACATAAAGCTTATGCTGACATGACTATAGACAAATGATGTGTACAAAAAACATATACCGGTCTTGAAAACATGGTGTGGAATTCTTCAGTCCGTTTCTCGCCGGGGCCACAAAGCGCCAAAAAGTATCGATCATCAAGTGTGTCAGCTTGATGATTAATAGAGAATGGTCGTTATGCAATTCTAGCAGGATAGTGCTGTAGGTCACATGGTCAATCTCCATGGCCCACTAATGTGACCTGCATACAGATAAGGTCAAAGAAATAAAAATGCAGACGTAAGGATTGGTCAAATTAGTGAAGAAAGTCGTCTACAAACTCCAAATTGCAAATGATGACTGCAGTTGAGGAGACAGCATAACGTAAATAGTACTAGATATCAGATGAAGCGGATGACCGATACAAGCAAAACAAGCGCGAAGACGTTCAAAATAAAGCGCAGGCCAAAACGTTATTTTAAGTGTATAACACATTATGGCTACATACTCAAAATAGGATATATATATATATATATATATATATATATATATATATATATATATATATATATATGCCCCATGCTGAGGCTGATGTTGCATTCTTGATGCTTCTTCACCGCAGTTGGGCTAAACCAACTTACACTAGGTCCTTTTAAGCTGGTTAAATTTCATTCCACTTTGTTTGGTTTGTTTTGCCTACCTGAACATTTCTATCAACTGGTCACTATGCTTACATTAATTGCGCTTATCTTCGGTAACTTTGTTGCTTTTATAACATTTTTAACTAACTTGTGGACATTTTTCCTTATCGCTGATTCGTTGCTAACCAACTTACTTCATATGCTAATTTAGCGAAGAGTTATGCCACCGAATCTGTATTGGATTTGTTTTATTTCATCTTGTCGTTCCAGGTGATTGGCTGTTGGCTGATATCCCCAGTGTGGCTGCGCTTGAGGTGCACGTTGACAAGGTGCCTACCTGTCTATTACCCACTGCCTCGTCCATACTGGCTCCAGAAGACAGTTGGTCGTTGCTGGAGGGGACGGGGTGCACGGTTCTTGTGGCCGTGCTAGGCTCAAAGAGCGGTTCCACGCAATCAGTGTGGAGCGGACTACGGTCCAGCCACCGCCTTGTGTGCGCTTGATTCCCCAAATACAGTGTGCTTGTGTTTGCCTGTGAAGGAGTGTGGGCCGGCTCCGTTGATGAAACGTGGCTCCCATCCACATGCCTCCCGGTCTTATTCCTTCGGGTTTACACTGGATATGGGGTATGTGGGTGGAGCTGTGGGTGGTGCAGCGCAAGCCATCCATGGTCCCTCTGTAGGCGCAGGCGTTCTGTGGCTTGCCACAGTGACAGGCAAATCCGAAACCGGATGCCGCCAACCATGTATGTATGTGTGCCCCATGCTGAGGCTGATGTTGCATTCTTGATGCTTCTTCACCGCAGTTGGGCTAAACCAACTTACACTTAAACTAGGTCTTTTTAAGCTGGATAAATTTCATTCCGCTTTATTTGGTTTGTTCTGCCTCCCTGAATAATGTTCTATTAACTGGCCACGTTGCTTACACTAATTGCGCTTAACTTCGGTAATTTTGTTGCGTTTGTAGCATTTTAAGTAACTTGTGGACATTTCTTACTTATCACGGATTTGTTGCTGACCAACTTACTTCATATGGTAATTTAGCGAAGAGTTATGCCACCGTATCTGTATGCATTATTGGATTTATTTTATTTCAGCTTGTCGTTTAAATTGAATGGCTGTTGTTTGATATCCCTGGTATGGTTGCGCTTGATGTGTATGTTGACAAGGTGCTTACCTGTCTAGTACCCACTACATCGTTCATACTGGCTCCAGGAGACAGTTGGTCGTTGCTGGAGGGGACGGGGTGTACGATCCTTGTGGCCGTGCTAGGCTCAAAGAGCGGTTCCATGCACTCAGTGTGGAGCGGACTACAGTCCAGCCACCGCCTTGTGTGCGCTTGATTCCCCAAATACAGTGTGCTTGTGTTTGCCTGTGAAGGAGTGTGGGCCAGCTCCGTTGATGAAACGTGGCTCCCATCCACATGCCTCCCGGTCTTATTCCTTCGGGTTTACACTGAATATGGGTTGTGTGTTTGGAGCTGTGGGTGGTGCAGCGCAAGCCACCCGTGGTCCCTCTGTAGGCGCAGGCGTCCTGTGGCTTGCCACAGTGACAGGCAAATCCGAAACCGGATGCCGCCAACCATATATATATATATATATATATATATATATATATATATATATATATATATATATATATATATATATGAGAAAGTACTTGGTGCACTGAGGCTTGCGAAGGCGAGATAACGACAGATTGTTGATCAACTGCTGCTAATGATGAGCAGTGGACCCATGTCTTGGAAGCCACTTTGTGGTAACCGCTGGGTGTGAGTTGGGTTACGCCCTTCTTCTAGCTAGGAGTCAGGACACACAACTCCGCGGGAGTCGGTTCACTGACTCATGGTATACGGCCCGCTGCTTTTCGAAGGTACATTTTACCGAAGGCTTTGGCTGATAACTCAAGTCGTTCTCCTGTCAGGTGTGGACACCCGGTCAGTACACCAGTACAAACTCAAACCATGGAACACGTCAATAACGATGTCATGATCCATCGGCAGTCGTGACATCAAGAAAAGGTTGTCCTATCTACCGCATACAGAGAGATGGATAAGCGAAGACATGCTACCGCTGATGCTTCCTTTCTTTCTTCTTCAGTTGTAAATTCTACCCAGTCCAAGTTTCAAATAACCCAAACTTCCTCTTATCAAGGCCACCACACCAGCGATTGCTCGATGCAATCGTATGCCTGCGCGCAAAGCGCCAAACATCGGTTGTTGGAACGTGCACGCACTGCTAAACCGGAACACAAGTGTGTCCGAGTGACGCAATGCACGGGTCGTGATGTAATTCGCGCGGTACGGTCGACATTGTCGCACTCAATGATGCTTAGGTCGCTGATCAAGTGAAGCTGCACGAGGCGGGTGCCGCGTAAACGTACTAATAGGTGGGAAACGCAATCACAACACCAGGTGAACACAGGATCGGGTTCTGTTATAATGCTGTAACCGCAATCGACCGGTTGGTTCACACCTGCTTTTAAGTGTGCGCCCTTACGCGTGCTCTGCTTGACACCTTGGGCAACCCGACAGAAAGGAAAACAGAAGACTCAACCGACCAGAGCTCTATTATAACCGAGAACGCTCATATTTATAGGTCGGTCTCACCAATCCTCTAAACACCGCCTGGCGGATTTGGCTACCTGTCTTCCTTGTACGCCCACGCACTACAACTGACTGTCCGCTCCGTAAGCCAGTTCACTGTCTTGTTCGAGCACGCCAGTGTTCATCCGCCTACCCGGGGCATGGCAACGCACATGATGTCTGACGCACGATTACATCAGTTTCCGGTCAGAACTTGGCAACACGCATGATGTCTGATGCGCGATTTCATCAGCTTTCGGCTGGCTCGTGACAACATGCTCGCGCGGTCTGTCCCAAGCACGATTTGTGGCAAAAAAGCGAGCGTTGGCAATCAGCTTTCTTGCCCAACTGTCACCTCCCTTTCCGAATTGAGTCAGCTTGCAAACCCTTCGAACCTGATTGTGTTTGTAGCTTTTCGCCCGGGGATCAATTTGCAGCCATTGTGGTCTTCTTCGCTTATGAGCCAGCCTGCATTGTGCATCTGATGTTTGTAGCATCGGTTGTCGCACCGGGTTGCTGACCCCCAATTTCCAGTCCGAACGTGTCTAGTAGAATATCCCAATGCAAAGCCGGTGGCCCGTGGGGACCATGGATTTTGCCACGGTTCGGTCTCAACTGATTGATGTGCCTAAACCACCTCACACGTCCAACCATCACCCCGTAGATAACTCTGCCCTTCCGGCCGATAACAGTTTCGTTCGACCACTCCTTTGGCCTTCGAAGACCCTGGGCGTAAACAATGTCACCAACATTGTAGTTACGGAGCGTGGCTTGGCGGGATTACTCCAAATGACTCCTGCCGTGCTTTTATATTCTCCTTGGTAAAAGATTACCGAACAACATCCGGATCTTTCTTCCAAATAGCACTTCCGTGGGGGATTTCCCATCAGGGGCGTTTGGGTTCGGAGCGTTCCGATTCATGCATAGGAAAGATTGAATTGCATCCTGTGAAGGCCTCTACGCTGCATTACAGAGTGCACATTTGAACGTATCCATGAAAATTTAAGCCTGTCCGTTTGATTGCGGATGATATGGTGGTGAAAACATCTGCTGAATCCCCTTTCCTT